ACTACTACTACTAAGACTACTACTACGACTACTACTACTACTACTACGACTACTACTACTACGGCTACTACTACGAGTACTTCTACTACTACTACTACTACGACTACTACTACTACGGCTACTACTACGAGTACTTCTACTACTACTACTACTACTCCTACTACTACTACTACTACTACTACTACTACTATTATTACTACTACTACTACTACTAGTACTAGCACTAGCACTAGCACTAGTACAACTACACTTGCTACTTGGTAGCAAGTACTACTACAACTAGTACTAGTACTACTACAACTAGTACAACTAGTACTAGCACAACTAGTTTTACTAGTAGCTGTACTTGGTACTAGAACCATGAATAATAGTACTATTACACATATTACTATTAGTTATATTTCTCCTCATCCTCATACTCCTCTTCCTCCTCCTCCTGCTCTTGCTCCTCCTCCTCCTCCTCCTGATCCTCCTCCTGCTCCTCCTCGTCTTCCTCCTCCTCCTTCTCCTCCTCCTCCTCCGCCTCCTCCTCATCCGCATCCGCATCCTCCTCCTCCTCCTTAACCTCCTCATCGTCCTCTCCTCCTCCTCCTCCTCCTCTTCCTCCTTCCTCCTCCTCCTCCTCCTCCTCATCCGCCTCCGCCTCGGCCTCCGCCTCCGCCTTCGCCTCCGCCCCCGCTCCTCCTCCTCCTCCTCCTCCTCCTCCTCCTCTCCTCCTCCCCCTCCCCTCCTCCTCCTCCACCTCCTCCTCCTCCTCCTCCTCCTCCTCCTCTCCTCCTCTCCTCCTTTCTCCTCTCTCTCTCTCTCTCTCTCTCTCTCTCTCATTTTTTCTTTCTCTCTCTCTCTCTCTCTCTCTCTCTCTCTCTCTCCCTCTATTTCTGTCCCTCTCCCTCGCACGCATATTTCTTTCGGACACCCTGTATCACCACGGTGGCAAGCCTACACATCGAAACATGGAGCATTGACGGCGATACGTGCGTCCGCTCTGCTTGGACCCCCCCTGCACGCATCTGGAAAAACCAAAAGGTACTGTTACCGCTACTCCCCGGACCTCTCCTGGGGTGCGCTCTGACCCGAATTTCCAGGCGCATCAAGCACTGTCGGCGAGGGCCTCCCTGGAGGCCCAAGCAGGGGAAAACGAGGGAAGGGCAGCGGCATGGGTGCCTTTTCCTCCTCAGAGCATCCCTCTCCCTCTCCCTCTCCCTCCCCCTCCGTCCCTCCTCGCCCTTGGCGCCGCCCCCCCCGCGCCCGAGGCCCGGGCGGCCAGGCGCCGCGGCTGCGTGCAGACGATGACGCGCTCCTCTGGCGGCCGCGGCCGAGGCCCGCGCGGCGCCGGCCGGCGACGTCGGCGGTCCCGAGGTCGGCTCGCGGGGCGGGGCCAGCGCCGACCCGAGAAATCCGCACGGACCTCCGAGTTTGCGCATGTCTACGTCATTGTGTGGGTGTTCCCCTAGGTATACATGGAGAACTGCACCCCCGATTCCCAGCTCTCTATGAGTCGCTGCCCCTGGCCAGGACGCTCCAGGGGTGGCAACCAGAGGGCCCCAGGGGGGCTCCACTGGTTGCAAGCTGATCGACCCCGATACGAGAAACCGCCAGTGGCCCTGTTGAACATGCCCGACCGATTCTTGGACAGAGAACTCTCAAGGAATGACCACTTGTGCTTTCGCGAAGGATGCCGCCCGTGGATCCACCGGGTGGCGGCCAAGATGGCCCAGGCCTCCAGGAGGCTCCACGGGTGGCAGCAAGAGGCCCCGGGAGGGCTCCACGGGTGGCAGCAAGAGGCCCCGCGCGGCTCCCCAAGAGGGCCCGCGAGGCTCGGGCGGCGGCGGGCGGCGGCGTCGGAGGTCCGGGGCCCGGGGCCCCGAGGCTCCACGCGCGGCAGCCGGAGGGCCCCCGAAGTGTTCCGAGACTCGGTCCGGGAGGGGCCCCCGACGATCAATGCCGGCGCCTGTTCTTCTGCAGCGTATGCCACGTGGGCCCCGCTTCCTCCTCCTCCTCCTCCTCCTCCTCCTCCTCCTCCTCCTCCGCCTCCTCCTCCTCCTCCTCTCCTCCTCCTCCTCCTCCTCCTCCTCCTCCTCCTCCTCCTCCTCCTCCTCCTCCTCCTCCTCCTCCTCCTGGCCAAAAGCACGTGAGCGGACGACGAAGGGCCAGGGGACGTACAATTAGAGGAGGAGGAGGAGGAGGAGGAGGAGGAACAGGAGGAGGAGGAAGAGGAGGAGGGGGAGGAGGACGAGGAGGAGGAAGAAGAGGAGGACGAAAGCTGCACCCACCAGGGTGCACGCACCAGGCGTGCGAGTGGTCTGCGCGCCGGCCGAAGCCACCGATTCGACGGCAGGCGGGCGGCGGACACGCCCGAGACTCTCGGGTTTCGGGGGCCGCGAACACCGCTTGCGCTTGAGCGCTTACACCTTGTAGCATAATCCAATTCAACGTACGTTCGTAACATGTGTGCGCACACCTATGTTCGTAACCTACGTTCGTATAACCAATGTTCGTAACCTACGTTCGTAACATGTGTCGAACCTATGGCGTTGCACACCGATGTTCGTAAAATGTGTTACGGCCGCTTGGAAATCACCCGCGTGCCAGCACCTCTCCAGAAGACCTCCGTTCCGACCCCGAGAGGCCTCCGGGGCGGCGAGAGCGGGGAGGCCCGCGCAGGCTCGGGGCGCTCACGGAGCTCGCGCTCCTCCGGCGTGGACGGGGAGACGACGGGGACCGGGACCGCGACGGAGAGCGGAAACGTCGTGTCGATCTTCGGCGGCGAGCGAAGGGGGGGGAACTGAGAAGGAGGGGGCTTTCCTGAAGGCTCGGGAGCCCCCAGGACTTCTGAAAAGTTTTCGAAGCTTTCCCCGGAGACCAAAAACCTCTCAGAAGGCGTGAGGCCTCCTGAGAGGTCCCGCCGCCTTCTGAGAAAGCGTTCTCCTTCTCGCTTCCCCCTCTCGCTCGCCGCCGAAATCTTGATGGTCACCGTCGATCTTGGTCAGCGCCAATTCGTGGATCACCCTCGCGGACCGGCGGCAGTCGACATGGACCAGGACCAAGATCGGCAGCGACGAGGTCCCGCGGCATCGTGATGATTTTTTCTCGGCGCAGACTCGGCACGAGCACTCAAAAGCTGCCCCACAGAATGCACGCTGCCAAGGCTCACCTACAACCATCCACTGCCCATCACAGGTCGAGCTTCTCTCGCAAGATCCTCATTCTAGAATCCAAATGTTTGTCATGCTGCGCATGATTTGATTTCAATTCCGCGTGCAATTTTTGAACGTCAAAATTAGCGGCAACTCCTCTGAGCATCATACAGCCGTTGACAAACGCGCGAATGTCAACCTGCCCATCGCCACCGCTGTCTTCGGCCATGAACTTGAAGAATTCAACGGTGGTGCCTTTGGAGCCCCAAGCTCTTGGGCAGCAGCGGTATGTGGTTTTTCTGCAGGCCGTTCTCGAACTGTTCTCGCGTCAATTTTCCGGATTCGTCTGCGTCGACGGCGCGGCAGAGGCGGTCGAGCTTCTGGGCATCCACCCACTCCTGTTGCGAGGGCTCTCGGGCGAACACCTCCGGGTCTGGCTTGAGAACCGCCATTGCCGACTCCACGAAAATGCCCGCGATAATGTTCATGAGAAAACGTTGTACACGCCGCGGCCGCTGACGAACAGCAGCAGCACGACATAGGTGAAACTCACCCAGAAGTAAATCAGCACCCTGCGCGCTGCCCTCTGCCCTCGCCTTCTCTCCTGGCGGGGTCCGCCTGTGCGGATGCCTCCCCGCCCCCTCCTCGACCTCCTCTCGCCGGGTGGGATCCGCCTGCGCGGGCGCCCCCACCCCAGTGGGGTCCGCCTGCGCGGGCGCCCCCACCCCTGCCTCTACCTCCTCCTCCTCCTCTGCCTCTCCCTCTGCCTCTCCCCCTGCCTCCTCGCCCTTCGTCGCGAGCCCGCTCCTCCTCTTCCTCCTCCTCTGCCTCCTCGGCTCCCTCGCCCTGCTGGCACTGCTGCAGCTCCGCCTCTTCTTCGACGATGTCGCCCGCCTCCCTGCCCCCCTGCAGGGCCGTCCGCGCCGCCCCCTCAGGCGCTCGCCACTGACGGGCTGGATACCTGGCGTCCCAGGTGCGTTCCGCCACCTCGTCCATCCAGCGCAGGACCAATCGATCCTCGTCCCGGATGCGCCCCGCCGGCCAGCCCCAGCGCGCCTGCAGGGCGCCCCCTGGCCGGGCCAGGGCCCAGCGAGGTCGGCGTCTGCACCCCCACATGATGTGGTCCTGGTCCGGCAAGTCTGCGTCGCAGCCAGGCCACGCGCAGTGGCACGCTTCGTCAAACTTCCCTCCTCCCGCTGCTTTCGCCGCCAGCGGCGACTGGAAGGACCCGCGCATCACGTGCATCCTCGTCCCCGCTCCGTCTCTCGCTGCCTCTCTGGCTAGCTTCACGCGGGCCTCATCGTATTCGACGCCCTGCAGCGGGGCCACATCCCTCCACCTCTGGCGCTTGAACTGCTGCCAGTTCCACCAGCGCCAGCCCTCGCGCACCTGGTGCATCTGCCTGGCGTGCACATCCTTCTCCACCTCGTCCCAAGCTGGACGCCCCTGCAGATCCAGCTCCATCCCCGTGCCCGGGTGGTACCAGTTCCAGGCGCTCGCCTCCTCCTGCCAGCCCATTTTCCGCAGCCAGCAGCGCACCTCCGCCACCAAGGTGCCTCGCTTGCGGTACCAACTCGTGTACCAGCGGGAATCGTCTCGCCTCCGCAGCCGTCGCCGCATCGTGGCCACCTGCCGGCACCCGATCATCACATCCGCCGCAAGGGTGCCGCCCTCGAGGATGTTCATGATGTGCTTGGACCCCATGGGGCATCCGCATGCGCTCCCCCTGATCGCTGCCGCCACCTGGTCGGCCTTGACCCGGGGCGGGGTCTTCGCCATCCAGCCATAGGTGCTCTTGGACAACCCAAAGGCCCTGCAGTATTCCTGCTTCTTGCGTCGCCCAACCGGCAAGCAGTACAGGCGGCGGATCTCTCTCAGCGCGCTCTGTACCCGCGCTTCTTCCTTCACATGCATGACTCAGCCCTGCGCCCCCCACCGTGACGACGCCGAGGGCCTCCATCGCCGGGGCCACCTTGTCCCCCAGCCCCTGCCTGTCTGCCTCCACCCGCAGCGCCGCCTCCTCCGCGCGCCCGCGCGCAACGAGCTGGATCTTCTGTGGGTTCTCGCGGAGCCCCGCTCGCGCGCTCCAGCGGTGATAGATGGCCACCCGTCCCACCACCTCCACGGCGGTCGTCGCGGACCACGTCTTGTCGTCCATACAGATGGTGGACCTCGGTGTCCGGCCTGCCCGCCTCCCTGGTGCTCTCCTCCTCGATCGTCCAGGCCCGGCGGCCTGTGAGCGCCCCTCGCCCGCTGCTGCCTCCTCCTGCCTCGGTTCCTCGGCCTCCTCCGCTTGGGCGTCCGCCGGGCCCTCTGTGCCCGGTGCTGCCCCTGTCTCCTCCGCCTGCGCCTCGTCGCAGTGCTCCTCCTCCGCCTCCGCCGCTGCTGCTGCTGCTGCCGCCGCTGCTGCTGCTGCTGCTGCTGCCTCCTCTGCCTGTCGTGGTTCGGGCGTCGGCCCTCCTCCCGCTGGTGCTCCAGCGTGCTGCGGCGTCGCCTGCCTGGCCTTTCCTGCCTCCGCTGTCTCCTCAGCGTGCTCTGCCACTGCCTCTGCCTTTTCCTCCTCCTCCTCCTCCTCCTCCTCCTCTTCCTCCTCGGCCTCCGCGACTTGCGCTCTCGCCGCGGCAGCCTCCTCTTCCTGCCGCCTCACCCAGCGGGTTCCTGCGCCCACCCACACGTTGAGGGCCATCGGTCCGAAAGGATCCCCTTGTGGGAGGGCATCGCTTGCCACCAGGGCTTGGGGGCTCACGTGGCCATTCCAGATGACCCATCTGCGCTGGCCAGTCCACAGCTCCTTGCATAGGCGAGCGATCGTCCTGGGCCACCCCGCTCGCTCCAGCAGTTCACAAGTCAGTTGGGGGTGCACGCGATCATAACACAACGAGAAATCCAGCGTGCCAACATACCCCTGCTGGGCGAGGTCGTCCGCGATGTCCGCTGTTGTTTCCTCCGCGCATATGTTCATGAGAGCGAAATTAACGAAAACTATGAAGATCAAATATATAAAACTCCCCATAACGCCAGTCGTCTCGATCTGTTCGTACGCCACTTCCCAGCCAAGGCCACCAGCGCATGCCACATGGAGCGTCAACATTGCCTGTGCGATCGATCCGAATGAATCAAAGAAAAAGGTCTCCTCCACAACCTTACCTGTCTCGATAAGGTGTCCAGTGATGATCTGCACCAGGAAGAGCGCGAAGATGCTTTAGACCAGAACAACCATAAATAGACTCCACATGAGGCTCGATATCGAGCCCTGTATGCAAACCATGAGAACTCGCAAATGCTTAAAGTGGGTCATAGCCCTCAAGACTCGACTCGCCCTCCCGATCTCAAGAATACGGAGCACTCTCAAGAAGCTTACCGAATTTTTTCTTGTGACCAATGAGAGGAAGCCTAACACACCAATACCAATTCAAATACATTGATCCTCCATGACGGGCTACAGAAGAACCAATGACGAAACACCCAGAGCTTCATCGCCATCTCGATCGTGTAGATCGCCTGGAAACACACAATCGCCAGCAAACGCCCAGGAGTCGTCACGATACGGATCATTGATCTTCGCGTCGGCAACATACATCATCCAAAAATTATTGATGACGATGGTGACGGTCATCGCCCCCTCGAAGACCTTGCCCGTGGTGAAGTGAGCGACGCGCCCAACGGGGGCCGGCGGCTCAATGTTCTGCAGCCAATCCCAAAAGTCAGCAGCCTTCTGCCTCAGGCGGTGAACGAAGATCATGTCACCGACCTCGGGGCCGAAGTCTTCGGCGATGGTTGAGGTGACGGACTTCACGAACTTGGAGAAGTGGGCCACCGCCGCGGCATCCATACTCGCGGACGAATCGTTATCCGAGTCGCGGCCAGACTCCACAGAGGCGACCTCCAGACTTCCCCTCCTCTTGTGCGGCTTTGTGCCGTTCAAGTCGACGCCACTGCCTGGTGCCGAGGGCGCTTCTGGAGGCGTCCCCTTTGGATTCGAGGGCGCCCGGGGCCCAGCCCTGGAAGCCAGCGCCTGCCCCGAACAGTCGCTGGTCGTCGCGCGCTTCGGATGCTCCGGCACGGACCTCTTGCTCGCTTGGCTCCAGCGCCACAGGGCGGCCTCCACCTCGCTCCGCATGGCGTTGCGCGTGTGCCCGCCCTCCATGAGGAGGTCGATCAGCTCGTCGTGCACGGCCGAGCGGAGGGCATCACGCTCAGGCTGGGGCGATCCTTCCATGACACCCCGTCTGCACGGTACGCGGCACTTCCCCCGGCCCTGCAGCAAGCGTCTTGGACCGAGTCGCTGGAGCCAAAATGGCGACGGATTCCCGCGGCATCGTGACCATGGTCCCCGTGTTTCTTCCCCCGATGGCGTGCATAGAGGCCTCCTAGATGGGGTCCGAGTAGATGGGGTCGGAGGATTGCACCGCATCGCCAATGCATCGACGATGCATCGGTGATGCATCGGCGATGCATCGGCGAAGTCGGCAATGCACGGGCGACGCCGGCGCGGAGAAAATGGGGCTCCACATCGAGCCGCATCGCCGATGCATCGGCGATGCGACGCGATCCTCCGACCCCATCTACTCCGACCCCATCTGAGAGGCCTCGAGCGCAGATGATCAGCATCGGGCGACGCCAGCTGTCGGCTCGCACCGAGGAGGAGGGGCAGCACAGCGGGGAAGGCCCCCCCCCCCTGTCGTCCGACCCGACACTGAGCACCTCACCAGACCATGGCCACGTGTTTGCATTGTGGGCGAGCAGCGACATATGTGCATGTACGCCCTCCACGGTCTTGCCTGCACGAACGTCCGCGTTGACACGCACTCCAGGGGAAACAAACCGCGTACGTGTACAGATGTCGCTGGCCTCTGATATTGGACGTGGGTTGGGGTCAGGCGCCACGCTCCCGGGCAGAGTCGCACAGCGGCGATGGGGGACCGACGAGGGCCCGAAAGCGAAACGCAGCGAAGGCCAGGGCAAACACCAGCGGCGGAGGGGCCGACCGAAGAGCAGCCCGTGGCCACCCTGGGCCCCGCACGCGTGCCGGCGCCTTCCCGGCGTCGCCAGGGAGGCGACTGCTCCGATCCTGGGCCCAGAAGCGGACTCTCCTGGCCAAGGCCGGTGGGGTGGTCGGCGCAGCGTCGCCCGGAGGGTGCGCAGGCGGGGCGGTGGCCCCGAAAGTCAGGACAGGCCAAGTCCAGACGGAGTAAGCTCAGGTGGAGACCGAGCGCTCCGTGTGGACTCATTCCGTCGGGACTCCGCACGCGCCGAGAGAGGCATGGGACGGGCGAGGCCGAGGGCCAGGCATGCTCGTGCCATGACGGCTCGGGCCCGCGTTGCCGACGCCGCGCGGACACTTCAGCCCTCCACGATGGCGACTCTCCGGCAGCGAAGATCGGTCGACGTCGGCCGAGGCTGGGCCACCGGCAGGGTCAGATCTGGATCGCCGCCGCGTCAGCGCGGCGCAAGGCTGCCGCAGAAGAGGGCGAGGAGGGGGACAGGGACGAGAGAGGGGCGGGGGAAAAGGCAAGGTGAAAGAGAAGCACCAGCTGCTGGGCTCGCGGGGTTGGGCACGAGCACGAGGTCGAGGATCGCAGTGAGGATGAGATTCAGGACGACGAGACACATCAGACCGGGGGGCGGAGGCAGGGGGAAAGAGGGAGCGGAGGAAGAAAGCAGGCAAGTAGGAGGCAAGGGAGGGAAAAAAACGGGAGTGGGTGAGGAGGAGGCAACGGAGGGAGGGAGGCAAATGCTGAGCGACCCTCGAGTCGCGGCCGACAAGGCTAGCCAGAGGACGAGGTGAAGCGGGGAGGGTGCGGGGGCGGTCCCAGGGTCGTCCTTGGGGCGGGATGAGGCAGACGATGGAGGAAAAAGAGGAGCAGGAGGCGGCGGGATAGGGGGGAGGAGGGGGAGTGGAAGGACACGCTTCCTCCTCACATTATCGCCATTGGCACCGTCGTCGACGTCGTCGTCACCTCGCAATCCTCCTTCCCCTCCTCCTTTCGGCACCGACGCAGTCCCCGTAGGTCGCTGGCGGCGCTGGGTGGCGGCACGCGAAGGTCCCCCAGTTCTTTCTCCTCCTCCTCCCCCCTTTCTCCTCCTCCTCCTCCTCCTCCTCCTCCTCCTCCTCCTCCTCCTCCTCCTCCTCCTCCGCCTCCTCCTCCTCTCTCCTCCTCCTCCTCCTCCTCCTCTCCTCCTCCTCCTCCTCCTCCTCCTCCTAACCCTCCTCCTCCTCCTCCTCCTCCTCCTCCTCCTCCTCCTTCTCCTCCTTCTCCTGCTCCTGCTTCTCACATTCCTGCTCCTTACCCTCCGCCATGTCAACATCCTCTGCCTCGTCGTCCTTCTTCTCCTCCTCTTCCTCCTCTTCCCCGTCCTTCTCGTCCGCATCGCCTGCACCCTCCTCCTCCTCCTCCTCCTCCTCCTCCTCCTCCTCCTCCTCCTCATCCTCCGCTTCCTCCCGCCACTCCTAGCCCTTTCGATCAGGGTCGGCGGCACCGGCCGTCAGGCCTCTCCAATAATACTAGTAATAGCATGACTGCGTTTATGATTCAGATAAGTCATGGTACTCTCCCTGCGAATAATACCAGGGAAATTATTAATATGGAGCGTGTCATTGTTCGTTTCACTTTTCTCTTCTTCGTCGTGCTACCAAAACAGATATGATTAGTGTAATTCCTGCTGCTGCTATTAGTAACCGTATTGTCAACATAATTCATAATTGTACAAGTAATACGCGCATTCGCAGTACGATTCGTAGTATAATGATGCTTCGTATTAGTAGTATTACCAATCCTGCTGCTATTATTACTGGTATGTTTACTACTTCTACGAATCCTACTACATGTTGTATATTACTCTATGAATATATAGTATAACAACTGTGATCCTGTCTACTATTGGTTATTATTATTATTCCTCCTCCTCCTCCTCCTCCTCCTCCTCCTCCTCCTCCTCCTCCTCCTCCCCTTCCGCACCCCCCGCGGCGCCCCGGATCCTCCCCAGGCCTCGGCGACTCCGCCGGGTCCCTGCAGAGGAAGTGCACATACTGCGGCACGCGGCTGCTCTTGCCGCAGCCTCGGGCGCCGTCGGCGCCCCCATCGTCGCCGCGGGGAAAGGCGCGAGAAGTCGAGGAGCCAGCGATTGCCTAAACTTTCGGAAGCTCCGCGCGGAGATCGGCGGCGCCGGAGGCGCCGCCAGGGGGGGCTCCGCGCCGATCCGAGAAATCCGCGCGGACTTCCGAAGCTTCCTGCTGGTGCCGTCGTTCGTTCCTCGAGGAAAAGAAAGACGGCGAGAGATCGCACCACGGACCACATCGGACCGCGTGCCGGTCCCAGTCCCCAGGCTGCCTGCGCCAGGCACGCCGTCATCGCACTGGCCGCCCGCGTAACAGGGGTGGGCGGCTGCCCTCCCACCTTTCTGTGGCATCCTCGGGGGGCCTTGTCCGTCCTGTCGCGGCCCTTATCCGCGTCGGATCCGTGTCGAATCCATGTCGGGCTCGTCGGATCCGTGTCGAATCCGTGTCGAATCCGCGTCGGAACCACGCAAAATCTGCGCCGAGTCCGCATCGAACCTGCGTCGGGCACAAGGGAAGACACCAATTGGGGGGACAAGCGAGGTCCCCCGAAGATGCAACGTAACCACCTGGCGCGGTCACATTGGACCACGGCTGGAAAAAAAGGGCGGGTCTGCGATCAGGCCACTCAAGGGCCCGTCTGCGCACCCGTGGCTGCGCGAGGCACCCGTTTTTAGCACGTTTTGGCATGCATGCGCGGGCAGAGCTGGTGCTCATCGGCGTGCTGCTCACCTGTGCGCTGCTGGTACCCGCCGAGGTGGTCGGGGACGGTGTATTCGAGAATGTGCCCTGAAAGATGATGTGGATGGTAGCATCCCTGGACATACTCCCAGAAAAGATTCTGGAAACATCTGAAAGACCCGTCCGTAAATGTACCCAAAGAGGTTTGTATCCGTCGTGGGCAACGACGTGGTATTCGATGCAGTGCTCGTCCGAGTCGTGAGCGACAGGGTCGAACTACTGCTGTCGCACCTGCTGGTAGACCTCGAGAGAATACCCGAGGTACTCGGCTCCGTCGTGCCGAGCGGGGTAGGGTACCTGATACTGTGCGCGGTGCATTCAGCCTTGGTGCTCGTGGCATCCTGGCATTGTTCGTTACAGTCATGGGGGGCGAGCCCTGGTGAGCTGGCCACGACCGCGAGGGCGAGGATAGGGCGCATGCTTGCCGCAGTCGGGTATATATTAGAGCAATTATTTTTCCATACAGCAGGACCTGATTCTGACGAAAGCCTCGAAACGTCATGGCCAGAGGTTAAAGTTTGCACGCTCCCTCACTCCTCCCAGGGAGGGAGGGTGGGAGCCGAAGACAGGCTATGGAGAGAGGGGGAGAGGGGGCAGGCAAGTGGGGAGAGCGGGGCTCCGATGTTTAAACTCCTGGATCGTCTGGCAGGTCTGATTGTGGCTGTACATCACCGAGTTACAAAAGCTCCAGCTCAAACCGTTCAAGAACATATAGAGCAAGTCTTTTTCCATACAGTAGGGACATGATTCTGACGAAAGCCTCGAAATCTCTTGGCCAGAGGTCAAAGTTTGCACGCTCTCTCACTCCTCCCCGAGTTTCCCGAATTCGGGAGTTCACTAGGGCTGGGAAAGGTGGGATCATTTGTTGTACCCGAACGTCGCGATACTGGAGGCCGTGAGGGCCCGCATTATACAGTGCGCGAGCTTCGGCGGGTAAGCGGCAGCTGGACGAGTACGGGAGCTTCCTTCAAGCTGAAAATGTGGAAGTCCCGTGAGCGAGCATCTCCCTTTATGGCCACAGCATCTCCTACAGAGGTCTCTGAGATCATCCTCAACTACATGGCAGAATAACAGTCCAGTTGGCTTCTTACAGTGGGCTCCGAATTGACAATGATCTAGTTCTACAAGGCTGACCCCAGCAAGGGAGGCCAGGGCTTTGATTTCGTGTGTGTGTGCCACAACCGAGAAGTGAGCGGGTGCTCGAGAAACGCAAGGATCTTGAGCTGCTGAAAAAAGGCAAAGGCCTATGGTAGCCCTGGCAATACGATTGCCTTCGCGGACCTTTTCTGCATCTGGTCCGCTCAGCAGAGGCCTGGGCAAACCCCAAGGCTTCTCTCGAGAGCGAATCTTTGAGGTGCGATCGCGTGCGATCGAGAACGTCTGGCACGAGGGGGCTAGAGCTGCCGCCAGGATGCGGCCGCGCCGAGCCTCACGTCGGATCGGGGCAAGGACTCGAGGGGCAGTGAGGTCTTGCCAAATTGCGTCATGAGCCTTGTCCCAACTACGGCATCTGAAGCCGAGCGCCTCGCCGGCTCTCGAGATGCATCTGCTGCCGGCAAAGAGGTCAGCTATGTTAACGCCCCTTCAGGGCAAAACGTTGGGAAGCTAGGCCTTGTCTCCTACAGCCACGATACGTGCGCCTCAGATCCGGGCGCGGGATCGCCAGGCCAACGTGTCCTGACGGAAGTGGACTGGGTGAGCAAGGCCTAGCATGATCGGCATGAGGCGCACCTCGCAGGACTCGCACAGCCACCTCCGGTCTGGCGGGTGGCACCCGACGGCGGCGGCCAGCAACGCGGCCTCCGAAGGCTCTAGGTAGTCGAGCGGCCAAGGCTTATTTGCCCCTCCGGCAGCTCGCCGATGGGCGCAGAGGGGGAACCGGCCCCGCGTGTAGCCCAAGCCCAGCTGGCAGTCGTCGTCGCAGCGATCCGCGTGGCCTCGACTGCCCCCCTCCCTCTGGTGTGCGAGGAGGCTCCAGCTGTCCACAGTTGCGCGAGACCGAGGAACCAGGTCGCATTTCCGAGCGGCTAGGAAAGAAAAGGGCCTCGAATAAGCCGAGAGGTCGACCGCCAGGAACAGAGCCGTGAGCGTCAGCCCCTTGTCCACCAGGCGCCACATCCTGACCGCCCTGACCGCCAGGGGCAAGGCCCGGAGGGCGCGCGCTGACGCCCGCCGCCTCCAGCACCTCAGAGCCCGCCAGGCGCGCGGCCAGGACTGAACCCACCGACGGTCGAAAACCGGTTGCCTGTCCGGCGGCGCGGCCATGGTCTGGCACCCGAGGCTGCTCTGCTCGCCCGCAAGGTACATTGCGGTGAAGTAGTCGTAGAGGAGGCAACCCACCTGCTCGTCCTTGGCATGTGCCAGCTTCTCGTCGGTCAGGCCTGCACGCGAGCAAAAACGAGCGAGGATTTTGACGTAGCGGCCCGTCATGCGGTGCATCACAGCCAGGCGCTCCAGCAACGCCCCCTCCTCCGGGCTGCTCTGCACGATCAGGCCCACGCAGAGCGCCGCCCGACATCGGCGCCGGGAGGCCTGGAGGACGCGGGGCCTCCGCTGGGCCGCACCCGCATGGCCCCCGGCGCTGTCGGAGCCGCTCGTGCCGAGCCCGCCCACGCCGTCCGCCGCGTCGTCGCCAGCGGAGCCCTCGGGCGCGGGGTCGACGAGCGTCAGCGGGGCAGGCGGCGGCGGCCACGCCGAGCCGGCCTCCAGGAGGGCCCGACCACCCCTCACTTTCGGCAGGGGCGGGCCCAGCTTCCCAAGCGCCCTCGTCCTCGCCTCTGCGGCAGGCAGCGCCTTCGACAACGCGGCAGGTCCCGCGTCCGGCCTCGGGAGACACCGAGGCGGCGCCCGAGGGCTTGCCGTCGCAGGCGGCCGCGGGGGCCGCAGCACCTGAACATGCATCCAGGACAGGAGACTCCTCAGGAATGCTGGCGAGATGAGCTAAAGCTTCATTAAAGCCAAGACGGCTACGGAAGGGCGACGCGGAGACTGAAACACCGTGCAAAACCTGCTGATCCAGGACATCGGTTAACAATTTAGAGACTTCGGAATGATCACGGCTCCCGGCATCGCTCTGGTTAAACTCCGAAGGGATCCACCTAAAAAACGGGGCGACACCGAGGGCCAGGGCGCACGCATTGAAGCGACGCATCTGGACTAACAACTTAAAATCGTGACTTCTCGAGCGGGCGAAGGCGAGAACGACGGCCATGTCATCGTACAGGAACAGCTGTCTGATGCAGGCGCCGCGCCTGGTTCGAGCGAGCCCACGCATGGCCTTCACCAAGACCCGGGCCTCCAGCACTAGAATGCCCTCCTCTAAGGCCCAGACCCCCTTCCGAACCGTCTTCCACGCGGAGGCGCGGAGGAGCTGCCAGGGGGCCTCGGGAGAATCCGCCACGACCCCCCAGTCGTCAAGGCGACACTCATCCCCGACGAGACGGCCCCGCCGTCTTTATCACGGAAGAGGTGGGCGGAGGCGAGTGCGGACTCCCGAGCCGAGCGGGGGCCAACGCGTTCAAACCGAGCTCGCTCGCAGACACGGGCCACACGGGCCACCTGCGAGGGGTCCCAAAAACTCTGGGCCATCGCCCAGCCCGCCAGGCTGGCGTCGGTCTCCAGGACGCACGGGTTCCACTGGATTCACCAATCGCGACCCAGCAGCAGAAGGGCTCCTCTGAAGGCCCGGATCTCCTCGACCACTTCGGGCCATAGGGGTCCCACTACTAGGTACTGCGTCGATATATACTTATAAACCGTGTGAAAAATTGAGAGGGGCTCACGAGCTGCCATCCGCAGAAAGCACAGTGTCCGATTATTTGTTCAAGGGCTCGGCCACTGCATCGGCTCCGAGACAACAGTTCTGTCAAGCCACGCTCCAGCTTCCAGAAGCGGGCCGAGGTCACGGTCGACCGGAGGCGGTTCCCGTCGAGCTCCGCGCCGAGGGCCTCCCCCCAGCCGCCGCGGGACTCCGACTTGTGGAGGGCCAGCCCGACTGGCTCGAACAAGTCGCCCCACTCGGACACCATCCTGTTGCTGAGGGCGACGTCGCCGCTGACGGCGCCCAAGTTGTCGACGTAGACGTAGGCCCCGCCTTCGCCTCGAGCCGAAGCGCGCAGCATGAAAGCCTCCGCCTGGTCCTGTATCAGGGGCTGCCCTCGGATGCTGGCACGGCTTCCTGGAGGCTGACGCTCCGGCAGACCCTGTCCTCATTGGCGGCCTGGGCCAGGCACAGGGACCACGTGAAGCCCATCGGCAGGGCCCCCAGGCAGGGACGCACCATCGCGTCCGAAGCCGCCTCGACGGGAAGACCAGCGACCGGCAGCCCCTCGAGCACATGCCGCGGAACGGCCGGTAGGCAGAAGTACAGGCCGCGGTCCTCGTGATTGCGCATCCGGTAGAAGCAATCCTTGACGTCGGTCGTAGTCACATACACGGCGAAAGCGTCCAGCAAGCGGCGGCCCTCCTCGGAGGAGGGGCGGATCCCGGGCGGCAGCTCTACCTCAATGCGCCCGAAACCCTCGCTGCTCAGGAGCCGCACGGAGGGCGGCGCTATGAAGTGGCCGTTGCTGCGCCTCGCGTCGATGATCAGCCGCAGAGCGCCGCCCGACTTGGCCACGAAGAAAATGCCCACCGACTCGGCGGGCCTCGAAGTCACTCCAAGAAGTCCACGTCTAGCAAGATCCCGCACAAACGTGCGGTAGCATTTGGAATTCCTCTTCGGCACAGGGTCCATGTAGACACACGGCATGCTGTCGAAGTCAACTGCCTCCGGCTCCAACCTCATTCGCTTTTGGTCCTCCTCCAGAAAGAGACGGCAGTCAGGGCTCACGATGTCCTCGAGGAAGCGGCACTCCAGCGCGCTCTCGGGCAGCGAGACCTTGCCAGGCTGGTAGGAGACGAGGTTCCTTGGGGCGACGTCCGTATCGTACACGGACTGCCCCCGGAGCAGCTCCCTGAGGGCTGCCTCCGCCCTCGGCAGCGTCGGGGGGGCTGCGGCTTGGCGCCGATGAGCCTCACACCACAAGTACTGCTGGAGGGCTGCGCGCTTGGCCAGGGCGGCGGCGCCTGGCTGCGGTGTCGACGACGCGCCCTTGAAGCCTGCCATCCAGTTCAGGCTGGCCAGGGCGCCGTTCACCAATTCAACCTCACGCAGCCGCACGCGAGCCCTACGCTGAGACCTGCGCCCGTGGGCCACAACACCTGGCTCCCGCATCAACGGCACTGGGAACAGGTCTCTCTCAAAATCGGACGGCGGCAACGGAGAGGCGCGGGCCTGGTCATGCCCCCAGCCAGGGGGGGCCCAGTCCCCCGGCTGACCCGTCTCGGTCATGGCTGGACCGGCGGGGGGAGCCCTGGCGGGCGACCGCGGCCGCGGCCGCGCCCCTGCCCCTCGGCAACCCCGCCGCCGGCCCTCGCGGCCTCGCCGCTGCTGGTGGTATCCCTGGCCGCCACGCTCGACGTGACACGAGAATCGACGGCCCCCGCTTGCATCACGGACTTCTCCACCTTCCAGTCCCCCTCGGCGCGGCGGGACACGCGCCGTCTGGTGGTCGGCGCTAGCGGCTCGTCCGCCTCGCCAAGCGGCGTCAGGAACTCAGCGTCAGCGAAGGACGGGGCCTCGCCACGCTTGTAGGCACCCACGATGGCGTTGAGCCGGCGGGCGACGACCTCGAGGAGGGCGATGCTGTCTAGGTTCAGCTGGACGAAATAGTCGGCCTCCTCGCGTGCCCCCGACAGGGGTCGCAGCTCGTGGGCCTCTCGGTCGATGGGCGCAAAGCTTCTCTCTCTCAAGAACTTCTCGAGCCACGCTCGTGGGGTGCCAGGCGTACGGTACATCATCTTGCGCGTGCGGAAGCACGTCACGCCCCCTTCGTCCCACTGAAAGCCCCAGTCGTAGCCCACCAACTCGTTGATCGCCCTCCTGAACTCCTTTGAACGCTCTCCTTGGCCGTCCCACTCGACCCAGAGGGTTAGCGTGTCGTCGCCGCCTCGCGGGCCCCCGTCACCGGCGTCGGCCCCCACGTCAAGGCTGCCCGGCCCTGGCGGCGGCACCTCTGGTGCCCAGGGTCAGGGGCCCGCCACCAGGAGCGGCAGTCGGCGGCACCACCCCCAAGAGGCGGCGCAGCTCCTCCACGCGTCGAGACGATCCGTCGACCACCTCGGCCTCTGGGATCCGCTCCTCTCGCCATGCTGGGCTGCGCCAGTGCCAGAGGGCGTCGATCTCTACTCCAATCAGGGTCTCCGTTGAGGCGTCCACGATCGGGCCGATAGAAGCCCAGGCGCGGGCTCCGCCAATGCCCCCACGCGGCCCTCTGGCGGGGACGTGGGCGAGCCCGCAGGGGCCGCGGCAAGGGCGTCGGCCGCGGCGCCGCCCGCGGGGGGCCACGCCCGCTGGGCCAGCGCGCGCGGCGGGGGAGCCCACAGGAACACCTCGCCGTAGCACATCGGGGCGTCCAACGGGAGCTCGATCCTGACCGGCGCCTCCGCGAGCGTCTGCCCGCGGACCCACGCTGCAGCCCTCCAGTTCTCCGTCAGCTCCACCAGCAGGGTCAGCGTGGGCTCCCCGAGGCCGTAGAGCTTGCGGCACTCCGCGGGCGAAGCGGCGCCGGCCGCCAGGCGATGGCCGCCAGAGGAGCCGTCGGCCAGACCCCCGAACGCGTGCACCGCCAGAGTCCCGAGCTCGTCGTCGCCCAGCTGCTCCGGGCACTTGCAGGGCCCGCAGTCCGTCGGCGGCGGAGGCGGGGGCGGCGGAGAGGTCGCCACGTCAGGCACCGCCCGAGCCGCCGACTCGGCGTACAGGGCTGCGGAGGGGGCCGCCTTGCAGCCCTCTGAGACCGCCTCGAGCCACGCCAGGGGCACAGGCAGCGGCTCTATCACCAGAGGCGAGGGGCACAGACACCACCCTAGTCCCGCGAACAGCGCCAAGTTCCAGGCCGGCAGCACCGCAGCAGAACTCTGGAGGAGCATGCGGTGCTCCGCCCGTTCTGAGCCGAAGACAGGCTATGGAGAGAGGGGGAGAAGGGGCAGGCAAGTGGGGAGAGCGGGGCTCCGATGTTTAAACTCCTGGATCGTTTGGCAGGTCTGATTGTGGCTATACATCACCGGATTACAAAAGCTCAAGCTCAAACCGTTCAAGAACATATATCACGTACTGGCGCGGAGCTCCGTGGAGTGTGGTCAAGTGGCTTCAATGAAACGTCCGCCATCACCGCGCCTCTGGGCGCGGAGTGGGCGTGTCCTCAGGTCCCTTGCCCAATTCTCGAAGCCCCAATGCTCACTCCGAAAGAATATTTGCAGGGCGCGGGCCCCAAATTCTCAAATACCAGGGTTTCCCACGTGCATCCTGGGCTCCGGGATGCTCCCGCTTGAACTTTGTCGGGCCCCACGCGGCCCCCAAGACGGCCCAAGAGGGGCCCGAGACGCCCAAAGATCGACCCAAGAGGCCTCCAAGATGGCCTCTCCAGATGGCCCAGGAGGCCTCCAAGACGCTCCAAGAGGCCTCCAGGAGGCCTCCCAAACACAAATCATTGATGTTCCTTCGGTTTTTGAAGGATTTGGGCGTTTTTGCCTTTTCGGTTTTCCGACGCTCCGAGACGGCCCAAGAGGCCCCCCAAACCACCCCAAAAAGGCCCAAGAGGCCTCCAAGAGGGCCCCAAGACGGCCTAAGAGCGCCTCAAGACAGCTCAAGAGGCGCCTGAAAGACAGCCCAGGAGGGCCCCAACACAGCCCCAAAAAGGGCCCACGAGAGGGAACATGAACCGAAAATCCGAGCCTTCCGCCCTGAGAGGCTCCCAGGAGACCCCAAGAGGCTCCAAGAGGCCCCCAACAGGCCCCCAAGAGGCCCCAGAGGCCCCCAAAGGCCCCCACCAAACGGCACCCAAGAGGCCAGCAAACTGCCTCCAAGAGGCCCCCGAGAGGCCTCCCACGAGTTCCCAACGAAGGTCCACTAGACTTCATGCCCACAGCCCAGGCACGGTGACGGGAGGGACCGAAAGCCATTATATAGATTCTACGAGACGGGGCAAGCTAAGACCGTCGATCGCCCCACGACGGCAGGAAAAACAGCTGGGGTCCGGGTAGAGGTGCGTCCCATCCGCACGATCATCGCACTCGCTGTGATGGTGTCGCGCGGGGCGTCCTTAGCATCGCCCTCTGGGATACGGGGGGAAGTGTAACCCGTCGAGGGTTTGCCGTCCGCTTCGGTGCTTGCGGAGCTTGCTCAAGTGCTCCCGCTGCTGCGGGATGAGCTTCAAGGTGCCCTTGAACCCTTTCAGTGCCGCAGTTGCTGGCATTCCTGCTCGCATCGGTGATTCACAGACAGGCCATGGCACGGATCTCCGCGCGTGCTCAGGCGAGAGACTGGTGTCTCCGCCGCATCGT